TTAGCAGTACTGGGGATTGAACTGGGGCCTTGTACGTGCTGACCAGCCACTCTACCACTGAGCTACGTCCCCAACCCTTTTTTTCACTTTGAGACAAGATCTTGCTAAATTGCCCAGGCTGGCTTTGAACTTGCTATCCTCCTGCCTCATCTTCCCAAGTAGCTGGTATTACAGGTGTGTGCTGTTACACCTGGCAAAAGGGAAACTTTTATAACTAGATATGCAAAAAATTAAATATCTGATATTAACTCATACCACATACAAAAAAAACCCTCAAATGAATCATAGACCTAATTTCAAGAGCTAACCCATAGAATGTATAGGAGAACATCTAAGTGACTGAGTTGACTGAGCTGTGGCACATGGGGAATTGTGGGCCCCCACTCTCCAGGAAAGGCAGTCTTCAGCCAGCCAGCCTGGCCAAGCAGCAGTCTAGCTACGTGGTGCCTAAATAAAGAATGAGCTGGGTGATTTTTCTTCTTTTCCTTTTTAGGGGGAAACTTATTTAAGATGAGAACTAACTAGGTAGAACTAAGTTGGTAGAACTCTCATAAAACCCAGAAAGTCAAGGCTTCTGAGAGGAACAGGCTTTTACTATCATTGCAGTGAATATTTTGTATTTGTCAGGAGTGTATCTATTTCATCCAAGTTTTCAAATTTATTGGCCCATAATAAAAATTAGTTCCTATGGGCCGAGGATTTAGCTCAGTGGTTCTGGTGCCTGCCTTGCAACCACACGGTCCCGAGTTTGATCCCTGGTACAAAAAAAAAAAAAGTTCCTAATCACCCACCTCTCTTTGCACTTTATATTTTTAATTTGCATTTCCCACTTTTCTGCTTGCAAGAGGCTTGCCTCTCTACCTTTTCAAAGTGCTGGTTTGGGTTTTATTTCTCATCTCTGTTTCATTTCCCCCTTTATGGATTGTGTCTAGATGTCCCCACAAAGCCTCATGTGGGCATAAGTGGGGCTTTTTCAGAGGTGGTTGGATGTAGAGTATGTGATGCTGGGACTGATTCATGGTGCAATGCTAGGATCAAGGGCACTAGGATTAAGGGTGTGAGCACTACCTGCTCTAAGTAGCCTGGATAAGATAAAAGGGAGAGAAAGAGCTGTGGTCAACCCTTGTTGCTTTGCTGCCTTCTGCCCACCATGAACTGTTTCTCCTCTTTGATGCCTGTTTGCCATGCCACCCTGCCTTGGAGCCAGCTGATTATAGACTGAAACCTCTCCTGTGAGCTAAATAAACTTTTCCTCCTTTAACTTTGCATGTCAGGTATTTTGTCTCAGCAATGAGAAAAGTAACTAAGACACCCTCTGTTACATGGATTTCTGGCCTCTGTCTTTATATTTCCTTCCTTCCTTCCTTCCTTCCTTGTTTCTTTGGGTTTGTGTTCCTCAATTTCTTAGGTTACCTCTGTATTTGCCAGGGCTTCAATAAAAAGTACCACAAATTGAGTGACTGAAGCAATAGAGATTTATTGTTCCACAGTTTTGGAGGCTGAAATTTCAAGGTGTCAGCAGGGCTGGTTCCCTCTGATGTGTGCCTTGCTTCCAGCTGCTGGTGGTTTTGCTGGCATTCCTTGGCTTGCAGTACATCATCCTGACCTCTGCCTTCCTTTTCACATGGCCTTCTTGTGTATTCATATTGTCATCCCCCTATGTGTGTATATGTCCAGATAGCCCTTTCCTATGTGTGTGTGTCCACTGGGGATTGAAACTAGAGACTCACATGTGCTAGGCAAGCACTTTTCCACAGAGCTACATCCCCAGCTCTTTATTTAATTTGATTGAATTTTATTTTCAGACAGACTTGCCAAGGCTGGTCTTGAACTTGCCATCCTCTTGCCTCAGCCTGCCAAGTAGCCCAGCTGTGCCCAGCTCAAATTTCCCTTTTTATAAGAACATCACCCTAGGAGTCTACCCTATCCCAGTATGACCATGATGACTAATTACATCTGCAGCAACTGTATTTCCAAATAAGATTGCATTCAAAATGTCTAGTGTTTAGGAATTCAACATATGACTGCAGAACACAGTTCAATCTCACACACTTTGCGTGTTAATTTTATGTGTCATTTGGCTAGGCCATAGTGCCTAGATACATGGTCACACATTATTTGGAATGTTTCCTGTGCATATATTTTTTTGGACAAGATTAACATTTAAACCAGTGGACTCTGAGTAAAGCAGACTGCTATCCATAATATGGGTGCACCTCATCCAATCCCTTGAAGGATTTAATAAAACACAGACTGACCTCCCCCAGGCCAGAAGGAATCCTTTCAGTATGATGCCTTTGGTCTTGCCTGCAGATTTTGTTTGCTTCCACAACAGGGAGCCAATTCTCTCTTCTCTTCTTCTCCCCTCCTCCTCCTTCTCCATCCCCCTCCTCCTCTGCCTTTCTCTTTCTCATACACACACACACACACACACACACACACACACACACACACACCCCATCCCCCACCCCACCCCACTACTTGGCAGTGGCTCTGGCTTGGCTTACTCCCATTTCCAAACAGACTCACCTTTTCCTTCCCCAGATCAATAGGGGATGGATCCTGCAGGCCTGTCTCAGGGTGGCCTCTTTTCTTGTAGCTGCACACAGATTACTAACTCGGTGTATCCTAGTGTCCCTTCTGGTCTGTGAGCAACAGCTATGGCCTGATAGTCTGGGCAGAATCACTCAGTCTTCCCCTACTGTTGACTGGGCTGTGCTGTGCTTTCTGAGAATTCTGATCATCCTTCTTGGCCCTGATAGTCCTAGAACAGGACCCATAGAAAGAGTAAACCATTTGGTCCAGTAGCTTTTTTTTTTTTTTTTTGGTACTGGGGATTGATCTCGGGTCCTTGGGCGGCGAAACCACTGAGCTAAATCCCTGGCCCATGGTCCAGTAGCTTTTAATCACAGCCACACATAAAAATGAAATGGCGAGCTGTAAAAATAATGTGTAGGGCTGGGGGTGCAGCCCAGCAACAGTGCTTGTGCTACCTCTAACCTGGGTTTGATCTTCAGCACCAAAAAAAAAAAAAGAAGAAGGAAGGAAGGAAGGAAAAAAAAAAAAATCTGAGTCTGCCCCACCCCCACCCCAATCAATTAAATCAAAATCTGTGAGGGTCAGACAGGTCATGGGTATCACTGAAAGCTCTCAGGAAAAGTCAAGTATGTGCAGCCAGGCTTGAAAACCCTTCATTGTACTACTGCTTAGGGCATTAGGGTTCTCCAGAGAGCCAGAACCCATGGGATGGATGGATGGACAGATGGACAGATGGGTGGATGTATGATGGATGGATGGAGAAACAAGTAAGACGGATTTATTGGAATTGGGACTCCTGTGACTGTGGAGGCTGAACATCCTCACCACTCACTACCAGACTGTTTGTAAGCTGCAGAACCAGAGAATTCAGTGGCAGATCTCAGTCTACATCAAATGGCCTCAGAAGCAGGGAAGCTGATGGTGTCACCCTCAGCCCGAGAGTAAAAGAAAGCCCACAGCCACTGGTGCAAGTCCTAGAGTCCAGAGGCTGGAAGGCCTGGTGTTCTGGTGTCCTGGTGTCCTAGCTCCAGAAGCGAGGACGCATTCCCCTTTTCTCCTCCTTTTTGTTCTCTCTGGCCCCCCAACTGACTGGATGGTCCCACCCAGTCCACCAACTCACACGCTGGGCCTCCAGAGACACACACACAGACACACTCAGAAATAATGCTTTACTGGCTACTACGGCCTAGTGTGTACCCCAAGCTTGGCAGTCCTGGGAAATGGTGTGAAACCTTTGAAAGAGGGAGCCTGAGGGAGGGTTTCTGGCCATTGGGGTGCTGCCCTTGGAAGGGACCAGGTGGTTCTCTTGGGCCCCTGTGCTGTCCCAACAGTGAGTGGTAATGCAAGTGAGCACAAGGCCTGAGCTCTTTGCTCTGTCTGGCAGCAGGGTCTGCTTTTGCATGTGCTCCTGCCAGGACATCCTCTGCCCCAGGGCCCTCACCAGAGGCTAAACCAGAGGGCTCCCCGGTCTTGGATGCTCAGCCTTCTAGCCTGAATGGAATAGACCTTCTCTTTATGAAGTTAGCCTGCCTCTTGTAACAAAAGATGAGGGAATATACCAGCCATTAGAGTTTTCCTTAAAGAACCGTCACACACAGAGATAAATGACCTGCCTGAGGCCATTCAGACAGCTCCACTAGTTTTCACTTTTGGACTGATTTTCTAGCTTTTCTTGCCTTGGTTACTTAATGATTTCAAATCAGGACATCCTGATTTATTTCTCTGTCTCACCCAGTATGCCTATAAGGACAAGACAGCTTTCTGCATGATTATTTAACTTTCTCCCTTCTCCCCCCTCCAAGGCAGGGTTTTACTGTGTTGTCCAGCCTAGCCCCTAACTCTTGGACTCCACAGCCTCCCATCTCAGCCTCCAGTCTCAGCCTCCAGAGTGGCTGGGGCCCCAGGCATCCGTTCTAGCCCTCCTTATAACCATTCTTCTTGAGTTAGCTTCCTCAACTAAATTGTGAATTAATTCTAAACAATTCCTTATGGGTCTCTGGCTATTTCCTACCTAACAGGTGTAAAACAGCCACCTTCAGAGAACAGTGGAGAATAGAGAAAAGCCCCTGGTTTTGGAGTCAGACCTCAATTGAAACCCTGCCCCTACCAAGCCCTCTTGAGTCTTATGTGCCCCCTCCACTGGGCTCATTGTGAAGCAAGTCAAGCTCCAGCTTCAGGATCCACGACTCACACCTGCTCTTCCCAAGGCCTTGGGAAAGGCTCCAGCAGCTCTTTGGTTATATTTCCTATTCTTTTTAAAGAGAGTACACGTATCCTCCTACTGTATCAGCTTTAGTCTCCATAAAAGTTGGAGTTGCTTTTCCCTGCCCTGCAGTATTGCTTTGGGAGTTAAATAAAATTTAGTTCATAAAGTGTGTGGTATACAGTAGATGTTCAATAAATGTTACTTCTGTAAAGAAAGTTCAGAAAAGATGATGCACAGATGCACCTGCAGGCCCATGTGCTTACTGTATGCCACTTTAATGGCTCATACACTGCCACCGGCCACCCAGCCCCACACAAGGGCCTCTGGGGTCCAGAGATGAGCAGGGGGCTATGGCACATGGCCATGGGGGGAGTTGTCCTCCTTCCCAATGTGGCTGTGGATCCAGTCAAGGTAGCGGCTGACTTTGGTGTAGATGCCATAGTTGTTAGGCAGCCCACAGCCCTCGCCCCAGCTCACTAGGCCCACCAGGAACCAGGTGCCTTGGAAGGAGGCAACCATGGGCCCCCCACTGTCACCATCGCAGGCATCCCGGGGGTCCCCAAGGATGCCTGCACACAGCATGTTCTCAGAGACCACATTCTTCATGACCTGGATGCACTCGTTTCGAGGGGCCACGGGAATCCTGATGAAGTTGAGGATGAAGGTGGGGCTCCTCTTGGCATCCCCTTTCCGCTCAGACTGGTAGCCCCAGCCTGTCACTACTGTCTCCTGGCCAGCCTGAGTGAGCTCTCGCTCTGCAAGGCCGTTGTCTGGGAGGCAGATGGGCACGATGGTCTTGGAGAGGATGGTGGGCCGTGCCAGGCGGAGCAGTGCAATGTCGTTGTTGGTGGTTCTCCGCGTGTAGTTGGGGTGGATGAGGATCTCTTTGATGGCCAGGTCCACTTCCCCTTTGTCTCTGCGCCTCAGGTCGTACTCACCTGCAGGGCAGAGGGCATCATCAGAGTGGCCTGGCCAGGGGTATCCGGCTGCTGCACCCCTGTGGGCCGGGACTGGCCCATGACTAGACAGTGTTCACAGGCCTCTCTGTGCCCTGGATCCTTATCACAAGCAACTGTTCCTGACGGAAGGAGTGGCCTATTGTGTTGATCTCAAAGGAACAGGATTCTGATCTGGATTGAGGACTCAGTGGAGCAGTGGAGACCAAGGAAGCACAGGGCCCTTGGACATGGGGAAGGACAAGGGCAGGAGCAGCAAGACCCACAGAGGAGGACCAACAGGACAGGGCACTGAGGGGGAAGAACTGTCAGGATCACATGTAAGAGACAGGTTCCTTCCAGCCAAGTCTGATGGTCCCTGGAAAAGAGGGTGTGGAAATCCCACACCTAGCCCCAGTGGGGCCACGGGCCACTGGTTGTGCTGAAAATAATTGTAATAAGCATGAATTTGGACATTCTTAGCCCACCTGTCCCTTCTTTTTGACATGTAGAGTATAATGAGACCTCCCTCCAGAAACTGATAGTGTGGGGCCTCCATCTGGCAACCCCCAACCTGCTGGGGAAAGCAGCACCCCGGTGTGCTGAGGCTGCATGCAAGTGGGAGTGAGGCGCTCAGGATGTGTGGAACCCCCTCTCTTTCACACCCATGCCCAGACAAATGAGCACCAGACAGTCCCTCCTTGCCGGGGCTCAAAGGTGCCAAGGCCTGTTTTCCCAAATAGCAGTGTGGAGCCCAGGTTCCCCGGACCAGTCTCCCAACCCCGACAGCTGCTGGGCTGCAGCCCGCACCAAGCCTGACTGTGAGCTTCCTGGATCCATCCATGCAGTGGGCTGCAGTCAGTACCCAGGAGGCATGAATGAGCACCCCGCCGCAGGCCAGCTTCCTCTTGGAGTCCAGCAGGATCACCTGGGATGGAGGCACAGCAGCGGCATCACAGGGCTGCTCCGACAGCTCCTGCACAGGCCCAGGAACCGTTCTCAAGCATGGCTCTGGATGCCCTGGCCACATGTGCCTCTCTGGCTCTTTTAAAAACAGAACACCTGGGGCTGGGGATTTAGCTCAGTGGTTCTGCTGCCTGCTTTGCAGGCACAAGGACTTGAATTCGATCCACAGTACCAAACAAACAAAACCAAACTCCTTGCATGGCCCCTCCACGGCCCACAGCCTACCTGCCCTCCTGCTGTCCCTGCCCTGATGGGGTTACCCCTGTCTTTCCCTGGTCTGCCCTCCTCATGCCTCAATGGCCCCAGTAGCAAGATACTTCCCTCCCCTCTGCATCTGAGCGAGTGAGAACTCCCAGGAAGGCTCTGTGACCCCAGGCCCACCAAATGACAGACTGCTCTGCCTCTCTGCCCACCTGCCAGGGACTCTCTCCCTGTCTGGTCTCAGTCCCGTTGACAATCCTTGGATCTAACTGATCTTCTTGATCTTCTTGCTCTACTTGGTCTGTGTCCCGTTTGAAGTTACTTCGCTTCTTCTGCGTTTGCTTCTGTATCCTCCCACATGGGAACATCACTGAACATGGAAGGAGGTGGTAAGGGCCCTCCCATCTTGGTCCTCCCCCGGCCTACAGGCTATATCACTACACTGTGGGATTCAAAGTTTGCTACATGGTAGGATTCAAAGGATAAATAATGCTTAGAACACTCAATATTAGCTGTGAAACCCCTTCCACTGTCAGTAAACAAACGGTGCCACCTAATGGCAAGACACAGACCAAGCCACATCACTGTAACTGTCCTTTCACAGGCTGGCAAACTTCTGAGGTTCATGATACCCTGGAGCTGTTGTGGGAATCCTTGAGATACATGAGTAAGGTCTTCTAAAAGAGGTAAGAAATTCCGGGGCAGAGGAGATGAACATTCTTGGACAGCCCAAAGCAGCTGGAGCAATCTGGTGAGGCCTCCTTCTAGGGCCAGAGTCAGGTGGTCTTCCAGGATCTGCTCCTAATAGTGCCCGAATGCTAGGTTGGGGGGTCTAGACTTGTATGGCAGTGGGGCACCATCGGCAGGGGGCTCTGGAATGACAGCAGGGAAAGGAGACAGAAGCTGGACAGCAAGCAGACTCACACTGGCAGACTGGGAAAGCAGCCCCCAGCCAGGGACTGCAACTCGGCCCCTCCGGAGCCTTGGGACCTCAGAGGCGAGTGTGCTGGGGACTGGTGCCTGGCCCTCCTCAGTACTCCACTCCCTCCCCTGCAGGGGGTGAACAAAAGCTGGGGACTCCGGGCAAGGCACGAGGGAGGCAAAAAGTGTCACACTTGGCTGATCACACGGAGTTGCACAAAATCAGGCCACACAGACACCAGGTCCTCTGCCAGTCTGCTCTAAGTGGCTGGAAGCCAGCCATTAATACCCCACAGCATGTCCTCCAGCCTCTCCAAATTCACCTAAATACAAAGCCACAGGGCTCTCTGAACAGCAGGGCTCTGCCAATGACTGTGGCCTCTCATTGGCCATGCAAGAAAACTCACAGGCCCACGGTTCCACCAGGCATTTCTCTGCAAGTTCCTGTGAACCTCATTATTTCAAAATACCAAGTTTTAAAAAAAATGAGTTACAGAAGAATCATAAAGTTGTAAAAGTTCTCTGGAAGAACACAAAGAAGTGGCCAGGCGTGATGGCTCATGCCTGTAATCCCAACATTCAAAAGGCTGAGGCAGAAGGATCACCGTGGGTTTGAGGATAGACTGGGCTACACAGAAAGTTCAAGGACAGCTTGAACTACCTAACAAGACCCTGTCTTAAAAAAAAACAAAAACAAAAACGTAAAAAGGAAAATATAAAGGAAGGCAGAATCAGGGGCTGTTCTCCCCTGGAGAAGCTAAGGGTAATGGTAAAGATCGAAAGGGGATGTGCGGCTAAGGAGGTACAAAGAGGAAATTAAACACCTCCAGGCTAGACAGAGGGAGATGCTGGGTTTCTGCTCCAGGAGTCGTTCCGGAGGTAGCAGGGCCTGGAGGGATGCGGGTAAGCAGGCAAGCAAAAGGAAACGGCAGGAGGCCCCCAGACAGACCGGCGGCTCACCCGTGGGCTCGCACTGCAGGTGGTTATCGGCCAGCTGGTAACCCGGCGCGCAGTAGCAGCGCCGCGCCTCCCCTTCCTCCAGGCAGTAGTGCGCGCACCCGCCGTTGTCGGCCGAGCAGTTGCTGAAGCCCACCTCTGCGGGGATGCGAGTCAGCACCGGCCGCCCGGCCACCCCCGGTTGCCCCGGCCGCCCCGGCCGCCCCTCACCGTTCTGGCAGAAGCGCCCCTCCCAGCCCCTGCTGCAGGCGCAGGTGAAGCCGCCAAGGCCGTCGATGCACGTGCCGTGTCCGCAGCAGGAACTGACGCACAGGTGCTCCGGCGGCAGGCTTATGCACTGGTCACCGTCTGCCACGTGGGCGGGTAGGAGTGGAGGTCAGCAGTCCCGCCGGCTCCTCTCTCGCCCCGCAGCAGCATCTAGAGACCCAAGGGGAGCCCCGCCAGTATAAAAGGCACTCACCGAAGTACGTGGACCAGAAGTCTAGCTGTGGGGAGAAGGGCAGCGTCAGCCAGCCTGTGTGTGGATAGGTGCCCTGCTCCTCCTGGGTGTGACCCTTGGAGCCCACTGGGCTGGTCCATCTAAGCAGGGGTCATTTATTGATGATCACCAGCTCCTAGCACCTAGTTTGCCGTGCTCCTTTCCCCACCCCACCTCCACCCAACAGACCATCAATAACACCCCTCCTCAGGTGTGGGCATCGTGCTACTGGCACCCTGCTCTCGGGGGCTTCCACAGCACAGGGGCAGGCAGGAACCCCATCTGCACCAGGCTGCTCTGCTTCCTCCTAGCCCCTCACTCCCTACCCAGCTTTTGGGGTCCCCTCATAGTCCAGTCTTTCCCTAAGCCAGTGTTGCCAACTCAGAAAGTCTGAGGTGGCAGAGTCTTGTTTCTAACTAGGTCCCAAATGCTGCTGGGGCTGCTGGCTTTGACCTTTAGGTTAGAGAGGACCCAGACCTCACCTCTGCTCTCCCAAACGACTAGAGTGGCTCCCTACAAATATGAGCTGAGGCACAGCATAAGTATAAGTGTGGGCAGATTTCAGGCCCTCTCTGTCACACTCGCCCTGGCCAGCACTGCAGGTGCATGGGTAGAAGCGGCCTGTGGCCTTGTGGTGAGCAGGGCGTAGTGGCTGCTGGAGGGCGGATTGAGCTCCCAGGCCAAGGGGCTGCTGGGTATCTCAGAGCCCCAAACTCTTTTTCCTGGAGCTCACTGCAGAAGCCTGCTTCTTGTGCCCTGACTAAGACTATAAGGCCAGTGTCTACTTGGCCACCCCAACAAGCTGGGAGGAATAGGGGCTGGTGCCTCCCACCCCCTGGATTCCCAGCAGAGCCTCAGCAGTTGGTCCCTGCCTGCTCATCTAGGCCCAAGCCACCTCCCCCCTCACCACGGAGCCTCATCTTCAGGGGCCAGCTGGGGGTCTTACTGTGTCATCCACATTCTGGAAAATTTCCTTGGCCTCCTCGAAGTCACAGACCTCCTCATAGCACTCACGCTCCAGGTTGCCAGGCCGGACCTCCTCCAAGAAGGTGTTGGCACGTTTTTGGATCCTCAGCACCTGGTGGGCACGCTGGCTGCTGGAGAATACTGAGTCTGGATTCAGGGGAGTGAGAGGGCCTGGAGAGGCATTGTCTATGGCTCCTGTGGGCTTAATCTAATTCCTAATGGTGTCACTGTGTCCACACTACTCTGTCCCTCCACATGAAGCAGACTGGAGGAGAACAGGAGCCTTGACTGTTCAGAGACGGATGGCCCTCCCTATGAATACCACCCTGATGGTGTGACCTTGAGCTTTTATGTCTTTAAACTTTGGTTTACTCATCCAGAAAATAGGTACACATAATCATGTAAAAATGCCTGGCGTGGAAATAAGTACTCAGTGACAAATGCCACCTGCTGCTGCTGCTGCCACCAAGACTGCAAAGTTTGAGTGTTATTCTCCAGCAGCTCTGGTACAATCCTTTCTTGACTTGACTGACCCTCCCTGCCCTCCCACCACAGAGTGTTTCTCATCTCTTCCCCTTGGTCAGGAACACCTGGAAGACAGAGACCTGTCCCTCAGCGTGCGTCCCCACATGTCTCCTGGGCTCTGGCAGGTGTCTGTCTTGGCAAGGGGATGCTAGGAGAGAGGGCCCAGTAAGGGTAGTGAGCAACAGTGGTTGGAGAGAGAAGAGGAAGATGTGCTTGAGCCGAGGTGGCAGATGAAGTAGACCGAAGGTGTGGTGGGGCAGGGGAGTGAGAAAGTGCCTATCTAGGAAGATAGGCAGCTCTGGAAAAGGCACAGATGCAATTCTGGGTCCCGTGGTCCTCCCACAGAATCATGGCTGCCTCCTGTTGGCTGTGGGCACTGATGGGCATTTTAGGTGAGGCATGCAGAGTAGTGTGGGCAGAGGCCTGGGCCTGAGCTCTGTGAGTAAGTGTTGGTGGGAAAGCCCAGGTGACTCTGTGATCCACCCCAAGCCCTGCCATCACCTGTGTCTGCCCTCACAGCCCTTGGGCCTTGCCAACCAATTCCTGCTGCCCCTGACTCCCTTCAGCTCACTTAAGCTCAAAGGCAGGGGAAGGTATAAAGGCCAAGGCTTCTAGAGTCCTGAAAATTCCTTGATATTTGAGGGTCCCCTGCAGAGACTACAGGGTATGGGAGGGTGGCCTTACCAGGAGGGACTGGGGTGCTGGAAATGCCCCAGGTGGTCACGAACAGCAGCAAACCTGCCAGCCGCCACATTCTGCAGTCGCTGACACCTGTCTGAGGAGGTTGTCTGAGCTTCTGGCAGCCCCTACCCTGTACTGCTCTGCCCGCAGCCTTCTAGGAGGAAGCTGAGTGCAGGGGCACATGGTACAGGGCCTGTGGACTGTGGCACTTAGGCCTAGGAATGCCAACCCATGCTCTGGCCTGGTCCAGGCAGGGCCTAGCTTCTTTGACCCCAAGCTGTGCTTGAAGGGTTCTACCTCCATCAGGGCTGAGCCCTTCTTGCCCTTCTACACCCTCCCATCTGCCTTGAGGGGGACTTACAGGGGTGGGCCCTGGAGAGACGGTAAGTCTGCCTTCCCGCTGCCATGACAGCTGGAACTGGGTTAATCCATAACCCAGGTATTTGCTCGGGCCTCTCCTCAGAAAAACAAACAAGCGATGCTGACACTCTGGTCTGGCCCTGACACCCGGGTCACTCAGGGCTCACCTCTGCCCACAAGGTTGCCATCTGGGAGGGAGGGAGGGCCAGCACTCTTAAAACCAGTGACAGATGTGGTCTCTTTTCACCTCAGTGTGGTGGGCTAAGGGAGGGATGTTTTACTACAAAATACTACAATTTGTCCAAAATCAACAGAATACATAGTAATTTCATATTTCATCAAATAAAGAGGTTGTTTATGTGCTACTATAAAAGAAGAAAGACAATCTATTATACAATGACAATTTCTTTTCTCTCTTTTTCTTCCCTGTACTAGGGATTGAATCCAGGGAATGATGAGCTCAATCTCCAGCCCTTTTTCTTTTCTCCTCTCCCCCTCTCCCCTTCCTTTCTTTCAACAGGGTCTTGCTAAGTTGCCCAGGCTGTCCTTGAACTTGGGATAGTACTGCCTCAGACTCAGAAACAGCTTGGATTACAGGCATGTGCTGTCACACCTAGCTTGATAAAGACAAATTCCTGTGGAATACTGGCTATGTTACCAGGTTTTTGGGTGTTAAGTCTCCTTCTACAGGTGATTTCTAAGTTCTTTGTGTCCTGAGCAAAGAATTGGTCAAGCCAAATGCAAAAAGTAGGGAGGTTGTACATTGATTAATGAAACATGCTCTGCAAAGCAAGTTTAGGTCAGTAAAAGAAGTAGGAAAAGAAGCCATTTTGTGAAAATGTGAGAAAAAGAAACAGGATTCTGGAAAGGCTGCAGGAAGTTTCTAGCTGGAATGTCAGGAAAAGAGCAGAAATAAAGGGCCTGGCTCGAAGCCTTGGTGTGCCCGGAAGTCCGCCAGCCTTTGTTGAGCATCTTCCTTCCCTGGATGGGCTTCCCAGAGCAGCCCACACTTCTCCCTGCCCTGCTGCCTTCCCGGAGGACTTGACCCTGTGGCCCCTCAAAGGCTGTGCCCGCAACGGGCCGTGTGGCCCTCCCTGCTGGCCTCTGGTGATTGACAAGGAAGTCACCTGGCCCGGAAGTCCCAGCCTCATGCCTTCTTTCTGTGGTGCAAACCTGAGCCCAGAGGATTTTGAAGCTGGGGCCTGATCTCCCATTGCGCCTTGGGGAGGGAAGCAGGAGGCTCAAAAGACAGGCCGTGGGGACAGTGCTGGGCTTGGAGGGGTGGAGAGGAGGTAGGCAGGATGGAGCCTACGGGTGGTGGGGAGCCGGTGGCCATGTGTGGAGCTGCGGAGGCCGGCTGGAGGAGGGGAGCCGAGATCCTGCCAGGCAGAAGCCGGAGGCCCAGTGAGGCCCCATGAGAGCAGCGGCTCGCACGCGGGGACGTTTCTTGTTTTTGTTTGGGTCTGCAGTGCTGGGGAAGGAAGCCAGGGCGTCGCTTCTGCCAAGCCAGTGGTCAGCCACAGAGCCACCCCAGCCTGCCGGGAGCGTGGGGAACTCGCCGCCCCCCACGCCCACCCGCACCTCCGCGCTTCTCCCCGCCGGCGCCCAGCCCTGGGTCAGGGAGCACCCGCGTCCACAACGGCTGGGGTCCAGAGCGCCGGTGTCCATCCCGCCAGGGCCGCTACAGTGCCCCCAGGGCCAGTGCGAGAAGCAGCCAGCCTGGTGAGCCATACGGCCCGCGGCTCCTCCACGCGGGGAAGTGCGTTCGTTTGCAGGTGGTGCCCGCCGCGGGACGGGCTCAGAAGGCCCCACTCGGATTCTCCTCACAGAGCCGAGTCAGCTCGCGTGGCCGAGTTCCTCAGAGCGACCCCAGGTGCAGGGTGGTGTGGGCAACTAGCACACCGTGACAGGGAGAGTAGAAGGCGTGCAGGGCTGGGATTCAGGGTCTGAGCGAGGGGCTGAGCAACCGTGGGGGCGGAGGGGTTGTGAGAAAGAGGCGGATACTCAGTCTGGATGTTCCAGGAACCCCATCTTTCTAGTTAGGCTCCCATGGGCTCAAACCCCAACTTGGCTGCTTCTCCCCTGGTTAATTTCCCAGAGCCTAACTTTCCACATCTGTAAAATGGGGTTGATATTAGCATCTACCTCAGATGGCTGTTGCGACGATCAAGGTGGTTTTAAAAAAGATATTCTATATTTTTTTCATTAAGTTTATTGGTACATTTTTGGTATAAAAAGTTACATTCATCGTTGGGATCTTGTACCTTTACATGATGTATCTTAGTTCTTATTTTTTCCCCAGTTCCCTGACCTCCCTTCACCTCCTCCACCCTTCCCTATTTAGAGACTTTGTTACCATTTTTTCCTTTTCTCATATTTTTTCTTTTCCCATCTTTCCTTTCCCCTACCCTTCCCACTTCCCCTGCCCCTTTAGACCTTTTCTTCCTATTTGCTATTATCAATTATATCATTTGACCCTTATTAACACTCTTAGTATTTCATGCCAGAGAAACTATTTAGTATTTACACATGTGTGTCCTATTTATTTCATTTACGAGTATGGCCTCAATGTGCATCCATTTAGCTATAAATGACTAGTTTCTCATTCTTTATGGCTGAGTAGTACTCCATTTTATAGAAAAACCACATCTTCTTTATCCAGTCTTCAGCTGGTGGGCATTTGGGCTGTTTCCAAGTTTCAGCTATTACAAACTGTGCCGCTATAAACATGGGTGTGCATATATTACTGTGGTACGATTCTTCTAATTCTTTTGGAAAGATACCCAGCAGATGGATGGCTGGGTCAAACGGGACCTCTAATCCTAGTTTTTTGAGGTATTTCCATATTGATTTCCACAGTGGTTGCACCAGTCTGCACTCCCACCAACAATGGAGAAGGGTTTCTTTCCCCCCACAGCCCCACCCACATTTGTTACTGGTTGATTTCTTGATAGCAGCCATTCTTTCTGGAGTGAGATGGAATCTCAGTGTTGTTTTCATCTGCATCTCTCCAATGACCAGTGATGTTGAACATTTTTTCATATATTTATTTGCTGCTTTTACTTGTTTGTCTGAGAAATGTCTGTTCATTTCAGATGCCCGTTTTTGAATCAGGTTTTTATATTTTGGGGGTCTGATTTTTTTCTTTTGGTACCAGGGATTGAACTCAGTTCCTTGTGTTTTCGAGGTAGGTGGCAGAACCACTGAGCTAAATCCCTGGTGTGTCTGACTTTTTTTAAAGTTCTTTATATGTTCCAAATAGTAGACCTTTGTCTGAGGAACAGCTGGTAAAAATTTTTTCCCACATTGTAGGTTGTCTCTTAGCTCTGTTGGTGGTTTCTCTTGCAGTGCAGAAGCTTTTTAATAAGATGAGATCCCAGTTGTTGATTCTTTGTGCAAGTTCCCGTGCTACTGACGATTTGATGAGCAAATGTTTTTAATTTTGATGAAGTCATTGTCTACATTTTCTTTTGTAATTCATATTTTTGTGTCCTATCAAATAAATCTGCCTAATCCAAGCTCACAAACGTTTTCTTTACATTTTCATTTAGAAGCTTTATGGTTTTAGCTCTTACATTTAGATCTCTGACTCATTTTGAATTTATTACTTTTTTGTATATTTTGTGAGGTGAATGGCAAGCTCCCCCCCCCCCACACCCATATAGCTACCTAATTGTGGCAAACACTCTCCTTTTCCACATTGAATTGCCTTGGCCGTTCATCAGAAATCAACCCTATATGTATGGATCATATGTATGGATCACTTCTGGGCTCCATTTTGCTTTGCTGTTCTGTCTGTCCATTCTTATGCCAAGACCATAGTCTCTTAATTGCTGAATTGCTGTTACAAGACTCAGGTCATGAAATCAGGTAATGTAAGTGCTCTAATTTTTTTTCTTCCTTTTCAAAATTGTTTTGCCTACGCTGTCTTTTCTTTTTCTTTTTTAATTTTCCTTTTTAATTATTAGTGCCTATTAATTTTACAAAATATTTGGCTTCGGCAGATTCGGCGCCCGCCGCTCGGCCCGCCGCAGCCCCCGCAGCAAGTCCTTGCCGCCGCACAGCCTCGAGCCCCGAGTTCCCGAGGGCTGGGGGCGGCAGAGTTCGGCGGAGCTGCAGGAGATGCTGAGGCGCCGGAGAGACTTTTGCGCAAGGGAAAATTCATTTGCAAATTGTTCGAGAAAGCTAAAGAGATCTCAGACACCGTTGCCAAACTGAAAGCTGCCATTACAGAACGTGAAGAGGACAGAAGAAAAAGTGAACTGTTTTACCTTGTTAGTGTAGACTTTGAGCTAAGGCAAAAGGCAATTGCAGGAGTTGATGTGAACATAGATAAGACCCCGAGTTCTGACCAGATGCTTGATACTTCGTCACTAGTTCCTGGCTGTTCGCTTGTAGATAAAATCAAATCATCCAAAACAATTTCTGAAAAACAGGGACTTGTGCCTCCTACTCACAAAGATAATGAAGAGACTCCGGAGGCTGAGTCCACAGTGAATCAGCACCCAGCTCCCAACGGCCGGGCCGGGACACTTTCCCCAACGGAGGAGGCGGAGCATCTCCCACAGCGCTGTTTCCGGTCACACAGACGATATTTCCAGCGGCTTGGACAACCTGTTTATTGACAGGTTGCAAAGGATCACGATTGGAGACCAAGGTGAACGCCACTCAGGAGCAAGCACGGGTGCAGAGATCTTGACGAGCCTCTGTACTGGGCCTCCTAAGAGACCTCATTACATGGAAGTGCTAGAAATGCGAGTCAAAAACCCAGTGCCCCCGCCACAAAAGTTTAAAACCTATGTGGTACCGTAACAGGACAGTGGCACACTTGGTCACTGCCAGAGGGGAGTCTCCTATCTCCTCCGAGGAGCGGCGACGCAGAGACAGGCAGCATCTTGATGACATCATGGCAGCGCGGCTCTTGCTGCTGCACCATCTGCCCTCACAGCTGCTGACCATAGAAGAAACTTTGGCACTTCAGCGACAGCAGAAACAGAATTTTGAGGAGATCCAAGCGAAGCTCGTAGCACAAAAATTAGCAGAAAAACTGAATATTAAAATGCAGAGTTACAATCCAGAAGGGGAGTCCTTGAGGAAGAACCGAGAAGTAAGGGATGAAGATGATGTTCTGTCCTCGGATGAGGAATGAGGAATTCTGAAGATGGGCGTTGGGGTAATCTCCTAAGTCTCTGATGGTTGAGATGTCATTACCTAATATCACCAGACTTTCTAACAAGTATCAAGATCAGTGTCAGACGTAGTTGAGGGAAACATTTTATAGTTACACAAAGGTAGCTACAAGAAGAAGCCCAGTTTGTCTTTCAGATGATGATCTTCATGTGCTTGGAAAGTTTAATATTTGAATATTGTGCTTAACCATATTGTATTAAAGTTTTGCAGTTTGTTGTGCATTGATCTGGTATTTTGATATGTGGTAGAGCACATTTTTCTTTTCTGTAAGCCAAATGAAATCAGATGACTTTTTCCTTAATCTTACTTCTATCAAATAGCATTTATCATATCTTTCAATAAAGTACACAGTTGTCCTAGACAGCTAAAGTGAACGAGGAAGTCAGTTCCCTCCTTTCCTAAGCAATGGAAGGAGCTGTCTTGAGAAGACAATGCAGCCTGCATGGAATCCTGAGCTGTTGGAGGTGAAGTATCTAGGAGGACACTCAGGAAAACCTCAGCAGGTGTTTGTTTCCTTCCCCTGTCTTACGTTAGAAAGCTGTTCCCTTCTCTTCAGGAAAAAGGGGTACTTTGAGGAGATCCTGGGGGGCGGGTGTCTTACTAGAAGGTCGGATTTGCCTGGAGTAACTTTTGGTACAGGATATGTCCAAGCCCCGACTGAGCTAGGTGAAAGGAGGTGTGTCTCGGGCATTGGTGCTGTTTGTCCATGTGTGGGACATATGTGTCTGATAAGGAAACCAGTTTGTAAAAGTTACAGTTGAGCTGTCAATACATTGCTTTCTTTTTCCCCAAAAAATGTCATATATATATGTTACAACCAGTGAGAGAGAACCAACCAGAGACCAATATTAAATCCACACAGGAGTTTATTACCAGCTGGGACCCGAGCCGAGCATTGGACTCAAGCCTTGACTGGGGGTTGACAAACATGTTTTATACACCTTTGAGGCCAACAGTTTCTAGGCCCCCCTATGGGATAGAACTAGTAAAGCAAGCAAAAGGTACAGAAGCAGAACGTCCTGCTGTTAGGACATTTGTAAAACAATAGTTGATTAATTGTTATTTCTAAAGAGACTTTCTAAGGGGAGGAGGTTTTTAAGCTTCCTCCTTCTGAGTTTATCTAAAGGGCAGGCAGGTGAGTCAAGCAGCAATATGGAGGCTGTCTTGCTAACTAGGGTCCTTCTATACATATATATACACATGTTCCTGTCATTTTATTTTTTTATTATTTATTTATTTATTTATTTTGGTACCGGGGATCAAACACGGGTCCTTGCGCTTACGCAGCAGGCGGTGAAACCACTGAGCTAAATTCCCGGCCCCCTGTCATTTTAAATGATAGTTGTCTCCAAAGGAATTAACACTTATGTTATCAAAAAATTCAGTACTGAAAGAAAAGAATAAAATATTAGAGCAACTTCAAATGCTAATGTTGATATTTTACTGGTATCTAAATTTTGCTTCTTTCATTGTCTTGAAACCCACCAGCCAGACACAAGCCTGTAACATTTAAGCTTTCGTACTGTTGTTTAATTTTTTATGTATAGCTGTACATTTATATTTTGAAAATGCAGTCATACCATATGTTTCATAGACAATATGAATACTTGAACATCACAAACATTTGTCTTCATTAAATATTTGCATTTTAGATAGCAGAATATTTTTCATGGGTGTATCATAATTTTTAAAAGAATTTCTTATTGTGTAAAAATTGTTCATTATGTAATCTCAATAATGATTTGATCAGTATCTTAAAAGATAATCACATCTACCAGGTGTGGTGGTGCATACCTGTAATCCCAGCACTCTGAGAGGCTGAGGCAGAAGGATCACAAGTTGGAGCCTAGTTTGGGCAATGTAGTGCCTTATTGAGACCCTGTCTCAATTTAAAAAGGGCAGAGGAATGTAGGAATGTAGCTCAATGCAAACTCTGGGTTCAATTCCTGGTATCCCCCTTCAAAAAAACCAAAACCCCAGAAAAAAACATGCATACATTTATTTCCAGAGACATTTTTTAAGAAGTTAAATTGCTAGAGGAAAGGTATATAAGCTTTTGAGAATCTTGTTATATATCACTAATTTCAGAGATTGTGTCCACTTCTATTCCCTTTAGCAATCTATCAATCATCCAGAATTTAAAATTACTATTTAAGATATTTGCAAGTTTATTACAGAAAAATCTTAGTGAAGGGTGTTTTTTCATGTTTATTTTCCATTTCTATTCCTTCTTTTGAGAACTGCTTATTCATATGTTTTTGTCCTGTTACTGTTTTGGAGAGCTTGCCCTTTATCTTGGTTTAAATTCTTTATAAATTAAGAACATCCATCCTTTGTCATATAACATTTTAATGTGTTAGTTGCCTTTTTGTACAGCTTACGATATTTCAGCATAGTTTTCTTTAGAAGTCTGCCTTTACATGTGTCCTTGAACATACTTATCTTAACCCAGGTATGGGTAAATATACTAGTTTTGGTTTTGTTTTGGGTTTTTGTTTTCTTTTTTCCTTTTTTACAATTGTCTTTAATTCAGTAGGAATTTTATTTTGTTTATACACATAACTCATTTAATCTACATAAATGAAATGAAAAGGAAATTTTGATCAATCTCAAGTTTATTTGGAGATACTGTGTGAGGTGAGGATGTAAGGTTAATCTTTGCAAAGAGTTTATCAATTGCTTCGGTATTGTAAGCCACTATTTTCATTTGTAATGCTATATTTACAGAATATTAAATTTTTGTGTCTTTTAAAAAAATATTTGGCTTCAAGTGTATATTTTGATCATATCCATTCCTCCTATTATCCCTTCCCCTACCTCCTTGCAATCACCTTCCCTTCCCCCTTATTCCTTTCCTCTTGTTTAATAATAGTCTCCTTTCTACTTTCATGTCATTTTTTAAAAATCCCACATATTAGGGAGAACTATTTATACTAACTGTAATTATGAAGAATTAATTATACTTGTCTTTCTGAGTCTGGCTTATTTTGGTTAACAAGATGACCCCCAGTTCCATCTATTTTCTTGGAAATGACAAAGTTTCAATCTTCTTATGGCTGAATAACACTCCATTGTATATATACACATTTTCCTTATGCATTCATCTGTTGATGGGCACCTAGGCTGGTTCTATATCTTGGCTATTGTGAATTATGCCACAATAAACATGGGTATGCAGGTATCCCTACAGTGTGCTGACTTTAATTTCTTTGGGTATTACCAAGAAGTGGTATAGATGGACAAAACAGTTGTGTTATTTTTAGGTTTTTTAAGGAAAGTTCATACTGATTTCCATAGAGACTGTAAAAGAGTATAAAAGAGTCCCTTTACAAAAACATTTGGTTTTTTTTTTGTATTATTGATGTTAACCATTCTGACTTAGGTGAGATGAAATCTTAATATAGTTTTGATTTGCTTTTCCCTAATGACTACAGATGTTATGAACAATTTTTCATACACTTATTGGCCATTTGTACTTCTTTTGAGAAGTATCTATTCAAGTCATTTGCCCATTTATTGATTGGGCCATTTGATTTTTTGAGTTCTTTATATATTCTACATATTAATCCTCTGTCAGAAAAGTAGAATGGCAAAGATTTTCTCCCATTCTCTAGGCTCTCTCCTCACGCTGTTAGTTGTTTCCTTTCCCGTGCAGAAACTTTTTAATTTGATGAAATTCTATTTGTTGATTCTTGATGATTATTTTCTGTGCTATTGGAGTCCAATTCAGGAAGTCTTTACCTGTTCCTATGGCTTTAAGTATTTCCTTTATGTTTTCTTTTAGCAGTTTCAAAGTTTCGGGTCTTTTTTTTTTTTTTTGGTCTTTTTAGGGCCTTGCGCTTGCAAGACAGGCATGGTGCCACTGAGCTAAATCCCTGGCTCTGTCAAAGTTTCCGGTCTTATACCTAGGTCTTTGATTCATTTTGGGTTTCCTTTATTACAGGGTGAGAGATTGGGATCTAGTTTCAATCTTCTGCATATGAGTATCCAGTTTCCCCAGCACCATTTATAAAGTGGCCATCTTTTGTCCAACATATTTTTGGTTCCTTTGTCAAGAACCAAATGGCTATAGTTTTGTTGGTTTGTTTCTGTGCCCTGTATTCTGTTCCATTGGTCTATTTTTGTGCCAGTACCATGATGTTTTTGTTTGTTTGTTTGTTTTTGGGTACTGGGGATCAAACTCGGGACCTTCCTTCCACTTGCGAGGCAGGCGGCGGAACCACTGAGTTAAATCCCCGGTCTACCATGATGTTGTTACTATGGATTTATAGTATAATTTGAAATCAGGTATTCTGATCACTCCAGCCTTGGTTAGGATTGCTTTGGCTATTCTGGGTCTTTTGGGTTTCCATATGAGTTTTAAGGTCGTTTTTTTCTAGTTCTATGAATAATATAATTCGTATTTAGATAGGGACTACACTGACTTTGTAGATCATTTTTGGTGATATGACCATTTTAACAAGTACTAATTCTTCTGATCCATGAACATGGGAAGCCTTTCCATCTTCTACTGTCTTCTTCAATTTCTTTCTTCAATGCTCTGAATTTTTTTTTTTTTTTTTGGTATTGGGGATGGAACTCGGGACCTTGCACTTGTGAGGGAGGCAGTGGCACCACTGAGCTAAATCCCTGGCCCAGTGTTCTGAAATTTAAACTCCCTGATTAAATTTAACCTCCTTGGTGGACTTGGTGGTGCACACCTGTAATCCCAGCACTCCTGAAGTCTGAGGCAGGAGGATTGCCTCACGTTTGAGGCCAGCCTGGACTACATAGTGAGTTCAAGGCAAGCCTAAATTACGCTGTCTCAAAATTTTTTTTTACCTCCTTGGTTATCTAACCAAGGTAATTTATTTTTTGAAACTATTTTCTTTCTTTCTTTTCTTTTCTTTCTTTTCTCTCTCTCTCTCTCTCTCTCTCTCTCTCTCTCTCCTTTTTATTTTTCTACCAAGAATGAAACTTGGGACCTTGCGCTTGTGAGGCAGGCGATGGAACCACTGAGCTAAATCCCTGGCCCTGTATTTTATTTCTTATAGAACTTTAAACTTGTTTTTGGAGTTAATAA